ATCTATCTATCTATCTATCTATCTATCTACATACATACAAATCTATGTATCCATATACACACATCTGTATCTATATATCTATATCCATACCCATATCTATATACATATAAAGATATAGATAAAAAACAACACTGTCCTGAAAAGTATTTATGTAGTGGGATTTGAGTTAATCACAATGGTCAGAGACAGGGTCACAAACTCAAATCAGGCAGGTATCACAATTAATTAAATTGGGCTAGATTTCAGACCAAAAATTTTTAAGTTACAGATACAAAAATTAATTTCCTTATAAAATTACCAAAGGTAAAATAACAGCATGAGGGCCAAGATTGGTCTCAGTTTCTCATAGACTCTGAGGGCAGGGGGACACTAAGGTGAAGAAAGAATGGTGGTACCCTGGATTACCATAGCTTCCAACTTGTTTAAACAGGGTCATATATTTCAAGTTCAAAGACTAGAAGGAAAAAAAATAAAACCTTCTGAAGATCAATTGTGTGGGTGGGCCAAATAATTCCTTCTGAATGTCATATTTAACCTATACATCTGGTATATAAACTCTGATTTCTGGTTTATATAATAAACAAAAACTATTTTGGAGTCTTGTTTTTGGCAATTTATTTTTTTTTAAGTTCAGTAAAGTCTCTTGGAGTTTTCCTTTATAACTGGGAATATGTCACTAGATTAAAATTAGTACTCAAAAATGATAATTATCATAAGAATCCAAGTGATGGGTTGTAGGCAGACATGGATTATGCATTTTTGTCTTCATGGAGTTACATCCAGGTTGCTTTGGAAATTGCTGTTTTGTTTCTGTTTACCATACAACAAGCACTTAATATGTGATTATTTAAAAAATGAAAGAAATGCTTACAAGGGGCCATTTTTTAATGCCGTGCCATTTTAAAGTAGAATAATACTTGTCTGATAATGTTACTAGGTGGGAATTTTGCCAAGTCAAGATTTAATTGCACATGCAACTTCTGATTTACAAACACATAATTTACAAACCATTCGTGTATGCACAGATAGCAACAACTTTCCAAGAATTGCTCTCAGTGCTAATACCCTTATGAAAGTCACTGAGGCAAGCAGGGAGAGAAGTGACAATCTGGAACTTCCAAGAATCAGTAGGTCATTGGAAAAACATAAGGAAGATGCTGTGAAAAGCAGAAGAGTCTTAGCATTACCGAGTTAGAGGGAGGTCAGCCTGAAGGACCAAACTCATGCCAAAATACCACTCCTGACTCTGCCTATAATGTCCCAAGCCCCCTTATTATCTTTTAAGCTAGAATTCAAGTTAGAGATGTTTGTTAGCGAGTACCTTCTTTTTAAAGACTAATTCTCAATGGTATAAATCCATTTTCCCTACTTTCAAACAGCTGTAAATCATTAAACACTAGTTCAAATGAATTGCTTTGCTTCTAAATCCTAGCTTAGATAAGCCACATTCAAGTGGCCTAGAGAGATTTTTCCAGTGGGTGAGTTCAGGCAACACGAGGGTAAAATATGGTGTATGTGATATGTTTACCAATGGTGGCTTTGGGTCCAAGAAATGGGAAGAAATCTCTTCATCTCTAGCTCCTTCTGACACTGCTCAGTCCTCTCCCCCATAATCTAGAATCCAGATCCCATAGTAATGTTCAATGTCATCATGGATCATTTTGGTTTGTGAGCTAAACAAAAGTTGTAATCATATATATATACATATATACATATATATGTGTATATATATATATATATATATATATATATTTTAATGTTTATTTTAGAGAGAGAGAGAGAGAGAGAGAGAGCATGAGCATGAGCGGGGGAGGGGCAGAGAGAGATGGAGACACAGAGATCGGAAAACAAGACCAGGCTGTCAGCACAGAACCCATTAAAATCTCAGCCTCACAGACCACGAGATCATGACCTGAGCCATGGGCGCTCAGCAAACATTTAAGTTGTAATCATATTAATAGCATCATTACTAACGGTATGAGTTCTGGACAACCAATCTGTGCATAGCTTCTGGTGTCTATGTTGGCTGGGAGTTTTTTCACCAATGCCCACTGACATCTTAAGCCCCTAGAAGTTCCACAGCAGCTCAAGGCTTTGCTGTGTTGTAAATCCATCAGTGTCTTTGTAGAACTGAGGCTTAAGGTCCCCTCTTCATGTCTGGAAATTAGTATTAAGGTTTTAAATTGTTTTAACTGAATGACTGTAAATGAACAAGAAGAAAGGAAGCGACAGAGAGGAGAAACACACACACACACTCACACACTCACATGCAGAAATCTGAAAGCAGGTATCATTCAGTTTTCCTCCTGGATGATTCCACTTTGTGTTTGTTTTTTAGAGAATAAATGGAGCATAAGCAACAAAACAGGGTGGGACTTGCCTTGGTCCCTTGACACCTTGATGTGGTCGGAAGGGGTGATCTACACCCTAGCTGCACATTTTGACCACTGGGGAAGCAGAACCATCATTGCTCAGTTTTCCTCCTGGATGTTCCACTTTTGTGTTTGTTTTCCTGAGGAGTACTAAATGGAGCATAAGCAACAAGGAAACAGGGTGGGACTTGCCTTGATTCATGACACTAATGATGTGGTCAGGAAGGGTAGTCTACACCCTAGCTGCACATTTTGACCACTGGGGAAGTCCGATTTATTTTCACCTGCCCAGGTGTTTTAAAAAGTGAAAGAACAAAGCACAATTATAAATATGTAGATATATCTCAACATTCATCCAACAAATATTTACTGAAGATCTATAATATCCCAGGAACTATTCTAGGCACTTGGGATAAATCACTTTAAGAGGAACCAAACCGACCAACCAAAGAAAACAAGCCCCCCTCCTCCAATCTTACATTGTAATGACAGTAAACAAATAATAATAATAATAATACATTTCATATTTAGAAAGGAACAAGAGGTATGGAAACAACACAATAGGCTAGAAAAAGTGGGCTGCAAAAAAAGTGTGGGCTGAAGTTTGAGAGTGGTCAGGATAGAACTTGATAAAAAAAAATACTCTCTGAGCAAAACTTCAAGGAAGGAGCAAGTGACATGTGGCTGGTCATCTAGAGAAGAACCCAGCAAACAATGCAAACATTCAATGTAAAGGATCAGGGAGTGTGGGATCAATGTAAAATAAGGGGATTTCCTAAAATCTATCGCCAGGTTTTCAAACTACGATTTTCCAAATTTTGCGGAAACTCTAATTGGAACATTTAACGAGAAAAAAATATCAGGAAAGAGGCAAAATAGAACATTTATTAATCAGGTTCTTGCCTACAAACTAAGAATTCACTCTGATAGTTCCAAGTCCAATTTTTTTTAAGTTTATTTATTTATCTTAGAGAGAGAGAGAGATTGTGAGAGAGGGAGGGAGAGAGAGGATCCCAAGCAGGATGATCCCAAGCAGGCTCCACACCAGCTGCGTGGACCCAGATGAGGGGCTTGAACTCACGAACTCTGAGAT